ATATAATCTGAATATCATGTATTTTATATATATATAATGTTTATCAAACAATAACATTGTATACGGTAACCATAAAAACCTGTTATAAAATGTAACAATAATTTACTGCTACCCGTGCAACAAACTTTGAGAATTTTTGTTTGAATCCACGAGTTAGAAGCAGTTATCTACAACTAATTTGGTGTACAAAAACTATAAGCTCTGTTTGTCTTTAATCCTATGAGAACACGTTTTAACTCTGAGATTCTTGTAGTAATGGTTTGTTTGTATGAAAACTATCATTGAATGGAATTTGATTACTAACAGGAAAATGCAGCTACAGTATGAAAAAAAGAAATGAAAGAAATGAATGGTTAAAATTGTGTAATGGGAAAAAGAGATACATGGTTGATATGTGTGAACAGAACATTATGATATGTGTGAGCAGAACATTAAATTGGTATCTTTTCTACTCTTTTTTTAATGTAGTAAAAATTGATTTTTAGTAATCTGTAAAGCCTTTTACATTTTATTAGTAATAAATTTGTTTACTTATTAAATCGCCTTATGGCTTCCTTACTAGAGGGGCCTGGCATGGCCAGAAGCTAGGGTGCTCAACTCTCAATCTGTCAGTCTGAGGATTGATACTCATCACTGAGCTTGTCTGCCCTTTCAGCCAAAGGAGCTCATTATAATGTGGCAGTCAATCACACAGTTTGTTGATAATGAGTAGCCCAAAAGTTGGTGGTGTTGATTAGCAGCCTTCCCTTTAGTCTAGCACTTCAAAATTACTGACAGCTAGCCCTTGATTAGCTTTGTGTGAAAGCTAGAGAAGGTCAGCCAAAACAAACTTCCATCTTTATTGTATGTGTTTCCTATCTGGCAACTCCTGAAGTATTTCTAATGTGAAGTATGTAGATTAAGAACTAAACTTATACTTTGAGGTGAATCTTGTGATACTGAAAGTGTGTGGAAGTCAGAAATGTATGATATAACTTGTAAACTTTTAATGTGCTGGAAAGTAAATTAATTGGAACTAGAGCAGTCATGTTTTATTAGTTAGTTGTTTAGAAAAAATCTTAATGCATTAAATGCTTTATAAATTCTTTTTCGGGGTTTCGTTTTTTTCTACTGTTTTCAGTGCAGTGACAGTTGAGTTTTAGTAACCAGTAAAGCCTTTGACATTTTTTGGAAATAATTGGACTTTAAATATTTGTACTGGAAAATATTTACTGTGTTAAATGCACAGAGTGAACCGTCGGTTAAATTGTTAGCGAAATGAACAGTGATTTTTATATCTGAAACATAACTATTCCACTTCGCCAACATTTAGACGTTGTGTTTTTAAACAATTGTTTTGTGTACCATATTACAGTCACTTTAACTATTTCGCAAATGTATAAGCCTATTTTAGTGGTAAAGAGAGATTACTGAAAACTTGGATGAGAAATTATTGTTGTTAATTATATCGAGTGTATTTAATAATTGTTAGTAAATAAAATCATGTACGTCCATTACAAAAAAAGTGCTATAATGCAAACGCCCTCGGAAGGTAATGAATTCCATATTTGCCACAGTAATTGTTTAACGTTTTTACCGGGCTTCGGGGGGGGGGCGATTGCGTTTGTGTCTGTTTGTATGTCCGCTCGCGTATCTCGAAATATAATAAACCGATTTGCGTGAAATTGGTACTGGACATAGGGTGTTCCCATAGGTCAGTTCTCGTCAAATCTGATCCGGATCACTTTGAAACATTTTTATAATGGATAGATACGACATTTTCCCTGTCTGTTGATGATATCTGTGTAAAAAAAGTGATCGGATTAGAACCGAATTTCAGGCGTACATTGAAACCAAAAATTTGCGGTAGGGGCGAGGGTATGCAATCCTTCTGATTGTTCTTGTTGAGACTATTCTTCATTTCAGTTAAAACATATGATATCTTAACTTGAACTTTTTAGTACCTAAACACTATGGTTCAAGTTTTAGAGAAGAGATGGGTAAATTGAACCATAGTGTTTAGGTACTAAAAAGTTCAAGTTAAGATATCAAATGTTTAGTACCTAAACACTATGGTTCAAGTTTTAGAGAAGAGATGGGTAAATTATTTTTCCTATTTTGTATAAATGTCTTTACCGGTTTTTTCGAATTTACAAACGCATCACGTGGGTGATCTAAGTACGGTTTATGTTTTTATTTGAATCTATACCATCTGATAAGAGTGACACAATTACGTAACTAAGAGCTCACTTGATCTTAAAATAATATTTTTAATTTATTAAATTTCTTTCATTCTGTGACTATTGTCTTATTTTCCATTAAACTCTATTGTTTAATGTTATAATAAAGAAGCGGTTAGGTTTGAAACGTTGGTTTAATCATGAGGAAACGGTTAGGTCCGAAACGTTGGTTTAATCATGAGAAACGGTTAGGTCCGAAACGTTGGTTTAATCATTAGGAAACGGTTAGGTTCGAAACGTTGGTTTAATTTTGTGAACCTAACCGTTTCCTCATGATTAAATCAACGTTTCGAACCTAACCGTTTCTTCATGGTGAACCTAACCGTTTCCTCGTGATTAAACCAAATTGTGAACCTAACCGTTTCCTCATGATTAAACCAAAAAATTGGTTTAATCATGAGGAAACGGTTAGGTTCACAAACGTTGGTTTAATCATGAGGAAACGGTTAGGTTCACAATTTGGTTTAATCATGAGGAAGCGGTTAGGTTCACAATTTGGTTTAATCATGAGGAAGCGGTTAGGTTCACAATTTGGTTTAATCATGAGGAAACGGTTAGGTTCACAAATTGGTTTAATCATGAGGAAACGGTTAGGTTCAAAATTGGTTTAATCATGAGGAAACGGTTAGGTTCACAGTTTGGTTTAATCACGAGGAAACGGTTAGGTTCGAAACGTTCATTTATTCATAAAGAAGAGGTTAGCTTCGAAACGTTCATTTATTCATAAAGAAGAGGTTAGCTTTGAAACGTTCATTTATTCATAAAGAAGAGGCTAGGTTCGAAACGTTGACTCCAGTTGTATTCACGCCCATGTATTAGTTGATACTATTGTTCTAGAACAGTTGTGTTTTAAATCTTAACGGCGTATGACACCAACCACATTTTGGTTGATTAGGCTGTACTGTAGCCTGCCTACTGCAACAAAACGTGACAACCACCTGGCTCTTTGTTCGTTATACGTCGGTTATGGTTGACTTGTGATTTGTGTGGGTTACCGACCCTTCTACAAAAATTGTAAGAACATCTTATACGTTTACGATGGGAATGATAGGTTACGTCATGCTAGTGACACCGACGCTACGAAAGATGTTTTGAAATTCGTTTTGATCTAACGTTTTTGGATACTTTTGAACAGTGAGTGAATTGGCGCTCATTTATTAAACAATTAGGCCGAACAATGAATATTTGAAATTGAATGCAACCATTCTTCAGACTAATTTTACATTCCTTTCATACCATTGTCTCCTTTATTTCAGACTTTCTTTTCTTATCGCTGTCTCTTTGTACAACTTTTTTTAATGATAATAATTTGTTAGA